AAGAAAAATCACCTCCTTTACAGGACAACAGCTCACTTTGGGAGAGTCAGAACCAAGCTGTGGTGCATGATGTGCGACTGGTAAGTAAAGATAGCAAAGTTTGCATACAAACATTTGAACTACAGGAGTCATTCCTGTGAAAGAGAAGTTGCCATGAAACTGTACTTTCTTCAATACAAAACTAATTTCTTCACCTTGGAATTTGCTGACATTGTTCTACAACAACAGAAGAACCGTATAAATTCGTGTCTTCAACTTGCTCAGCATAATCTTCTTGTTAAGTGCCTTAAGTTATACTCAGATTCCACTGACAGACACTCAGAAATACTCCCTTATAATTCTATTAACAACCCAGGACCATAAATGGATGTAATTTTCAGAAAACAGAGTGTTTGCCAAAGAACTTTGGATCAAAAAAACTTTCAGTGATTTTATTCCAAATTTGGCCCAAAAAAGTCCAACCAAAAAAAAAATAATCCACAAGACTGTCTAATCCAGCTTTGATATTCAACTGTTTGATTGTGGTCTTCTTTTAAACAAAGGAAAAAATCTGACCAAACTTAAGTTGATTCTGAGTGAAGTGACTACCACAAAGAACAATTTGTATATAATTTATCATGGAAAAATATGCGAGAAAGCTTAATAATCTTTCAGCCAGAGACAACAAATTAGATGCATGTTTCATGCTTCTAGGGTCCTTTCATAACAACCACACAGGGCACTGGCACTATCAGCTTCCAGGGTCAGTAAGGCTGTCTCAATCACATTGACAGCATACGTCAACAACTTTGATGAAACTATTAGCAAGCTATTCTGTTACTCCTTCACAGAAGTTGTTGGCCATATGCATGCACTATTTTATCAAACTTGGTTGCAGCAGGGGTTTTTGTGGTATGCTATTTTGATCATCATATTCTTCTTCTTGAGTGGAGATAAAATCCACTTGCAGATCAGTGTGCAATAGGCTGTTTTTGCCTGAGAATATTGATGTATTTCTCATTCAAGGTCCATATTGCTATCTGTTCCTTGCTGGACATTTTCACACATTTAACAAAAGGCATTTGACTGCTTAACAGGGTAGTTTTGTCAGAACAAATGCCAGCTACTACTTACAACAGACAGGGGATCCACAGGCCTGTCGGTCTGACCTCGATGCCAGGGAAGGTTATGGAGCAGACCATCCTGAGTGCCATCACATGCCACATACAGGACAACCAATCAGGCCCAGTCAGCATGGGTTTATGAAAGGCAGGTCCTGCTTGGCTAACCTGATCTGCTCCTATGACAAGGTGACCCATTTAGTGGAAGAGGGAAAGGCTGTGGATGTTGGTGGCCGGTCACGAGTGGTGTTCCCCAAGGGCTCAATATTGGGCCCTGTTCTGTTTAACATCTGTATCAACGATCTGGACAAGGGGACTGAGGGCACCCTCAGTCAGTTTGCAGATGACACGAAGTTGGCAGGAGTGTTGATCTGCCTGAGGGTAGGCAGGCTCTGCAGAGGGACCTGGACAGGCTGGATTGATGGGCCGAGGTCAGCTGTATGAGGTTCAACAAGGCCAAATGTCACGTCCTGCACTTGGGTCACAACAACCCCACGCAACACTACAGGCTTGGGGAGGAGTGGCTGGAAAGCTGCCTGTCAGAAAAGGACCTGGGGGTGCTGGTTGACAGCCAGCTGAACATGAGCCAGCAGTGTGCCCAGGTGGCCAAGAAGGCCAATGGCATCCTGGCTTGTATCAGGGACAGTGTGGCCAGCAGGAGTGGGGAGGTGATCGTGCCCCTGTACTCAGCACTGGTGAGGCCGCACCTCAAGTACTGTGTTCAGTTTTGGGCCCCTCACTACAAGAAGGACATCGAGGTTCTGGAGCGTGTCCAGAGAAGGGCAATGAGGCTGGCAAGGGGTCTGGAGAACAAGTCTTATGAGGAGCAGCTGAAGGAGCTGGGGCTGTTTAGTCTGGAGGAGGCTGCGGGGGGACCTTATTGCTCTCTACAACTACCTGAGAGGAGGTTGTAGCAAGGTGGTGTTGGTCTCTTCTCCCAAGTACCAAGTGACAGGACGAGAGGGAATAGCCTCAAGTTACGCTAGGGGAAGTTTACATTGGGTATTAGGACAAATTTCTTCACCAAAAGGGTCATCAAGCCTGGAACAGGCTGCCCAGGGAAGTGGTTGAGTCATGATCACTGGAGATATTTAAAAGACGTGTAGAAGTGGCACTTAGGGACGCGGTTTAGTGGTGGACTTGTTAGTGTTAGGTTTACAGTTGGACTCGATGATCTTAAAGGTCCTTTCCAACCTAAATGATTCTACAATTCTATTAATTTATCATCTAAAGCAACTTTAGTTCTGTTCATGAATCACATCTTAAGGTATTTCTTTTTACAGAAATTGGGCACACTTAATAGAAATGAAAATGCAGAACAACTAGATTAATCGGGTATAGGACCTTCCAGCCTCAGAACTGAGCTAAAACAAAACTCTTTCAAGCCTTAGTTTATATTAGCACAACAGAACTACTTCTAATTTTACCAGGCTAATGACAAAATTAGATACAGCCAACTGGTTCACATATGTAGTTGTGCTGAATCTGACACGCTTTATCAGACCAGTTATAAGGATTTCTCACCAATCTCACACAGAGAAGTTTAGCACAGATATATAAATATTAGCGTGAAAGCTAGGAATTAATTGTTTATTTAAGGCACCCTGGACAGATTGCATTAAAGTCTCCTATAGAACTCGGGTTAAACCCTATCCAAATGGTTATATTTTTTGTAGTGTAGAAAAATAATTCTCACAACACTTGCATGTAACTATTCAGCACGGAGTTCTTTCAGCGCCCATCCTTCAGAATCCCATGAGAACTTTAAATATGCAGGTTTGTTTTCATGGTGCTTATAATGGGATTTCTTTCAGCAGAACTTATGTTCTATCTCACAATACACATTTTTAGTGTGATATGTATTTCTCTTACGGTGTTCAGTCAACAACTTTTTTTTTAATATTGTAGTCTTCAAATCCAAAATTAATACAAAACCGTGTATTTTCCTTAAAATTCTAAACTTGTTGAAGAATTAGTCTAAGTGTATCTTCACATTTATTTGGGCTAAGAGTAGCCAGTCATCAGCCAGTATTTCACAGGTGTACAACGTAGTTCCATACCACAACCCGATTCTGTATGTTTCTTGTGAACTAGTACACACAATTACACTTTTTAAAAAACACCTAGAAGTTTTTAAAACTGCAGACATACAACTTTTGCTGGTGTAACTAGTCAGTTGGCAGCTTCAAGTTTACCCATACACCCATGACACTAAGTTACAAAAAACTGAGACACCCTGCAAATAAATACTCCAAGCATTTATAACTGGACATTGAGTTTCAGTGTAAAATGTCAGGAACATGACTGGTATTTTGTCCAAAGAGTATGGGAATTTTTTTTATTTATTTATTATTCTGTGTTGAAGAAAATATTCATTTTAGATTTCAACGTTTCATTTGCTATGAAGCTGGATTCCAAACTGAGGAGTTCAATGGTTTTGGTCACTACCATGGAAACGTGACTAGACAGGCACAAGAAATTTCTTGGGTACTTTTTGCTTTTTCTTTTCTCTAAGCACAGCACTGGTGACAGTTTTTCTAAATTTAGATATGTACCTAGAACGATAACTTTGTCTTTTCAAATCAGATCTCCCTCCACATTCTCCTTGCCATCCCTGCACAAAGATTAACCTACCTCCTCTTGCTGAAGAATACTCTTCAAAGCACTACTCTCTGAAAACAAGTAATCTAATTCTGTAAAAATAGATTATTTATTCTTAAAATTGGCACATCAATGAAAGGTTCCTCTGAAAAGATTCTATTCTTACAAAATGTAACATCTCTAAAACGTCAAAGTTCTTAGTTCTGAGGTGTATGCCACTTACAACTGCTCCACATAATGTGCAAAAAAAAGCAATGAGCAGGAAGCAGCAGATTTCAGCAAGCACTAATAAATAGTTCCAGTGCTTCTGATATTAATAATTCTCCCCCAATAGCACCAGAGGTAATTGCTACAAGCTAGTGCTGGTATTTCTTAACAGCAGGCATAATAGGACTGAACTCATGATAAACAAGGTAAACGTACTATCCAGTGTTGTTTCTGAAAAGGAAGTTTGGCTTTGAAAAGAAAACAATGTATATGCTTGGATAAAAGTGCAGGCACAGATGTCTATTCCCAAACTGCAAGGTACTACAAACCACATGTAAAACACCTATCTAACATTAAAAACAGCTGTATCTCAAATGCTTGCAAATAAAGTGTCAAAGCCAACCACTAAAATATTGAAGTGTTTCTACTTGCTCACTGTACAGATTTTTAGAAGTGCCAGATAATGCACTCTTACTTTAAAAAAATAGAAAAATAGGAAAAACATTTACTTTAGTAGAAGAAAATCTAGACCAGTGCAATGTGAATTACAATAGTAATTCACCTATTTTTCTACTTAAAGGCATCAGTTTGGTACATTTTCATGGTTTTACAGTGCAATATGATTAAACCTACTCGGATGATGACTTTCTTACTTGGGACATGCTACTGTGAACACTTGGCAGTGCAAGTCCATACTTTCCACATGAAACAGAAGACTTGGGCGGGGGTGGGGGGGGAGTGGGGCAGAGAAGAAAAGAGATGAAACAAGTCATATATCAAAGAAAATAACAAAGCTGACTGTGACATTTTGAAACTATCTTTTTAGCATGCAAGCATTGAAAGTTGTTCATAAATACAAACTCTAGTAAACTCATAACCACTATAAAAATTGGTAGTTTTTAACTTACAAATCCAACATGTGCATTTAGACATCTGAACAGTAGCTTAAAAACACACTCTGAAGGCAAACGACACAGTAGTATACAGCCATGTCCTCTCCTCATACACATGTCTTTAAACAAATTTCTCAGCCAGCCTGATCTGAAATACGAACATCTTGAATTGTTATGACCATGAAGGATTTTAAGCCACTTATTCTGTTTTCTTTGCCTGTCTTTTCTTAACACCATCACGATGCTGTTCAGAAGAAGATCGGTCACACACTGAAGAGCCATTGGAAGATGTGGCACCTTCAGCCTTCACTTTGGATGGTGCCTTTTGCAAGCCAAAGAACATACGGCCTAATGCAGCCTCAAAGGAAGCAAATGGAGAAGTTGCAGATCTTGTCAACATCATTGTTACCTATGAAGAACAAGGATGAAGTTACAACAAAAGTTTTAATGACTTCACAACAACTGAAAACAAGTTTAAAGTTAAATTTATGTATAGCATTTCTAACTTTCTACACAAGCCTCAGGCCATGCCACCAAGAACAGACATATGTTCATTTCAGCTTGAATTGATCAAAGAACGCTTTTCTTTCTGACCTACACTCTTCACAGAGCTATACACAAACTGTGTGCACAAAAATCTTCTTATGTAAGGCTACTAAAATCCTCCTAAGAGTAAACCATATTTAATGTCATAAATGTTGCTCTTCACGTTTGTTTTATGTGTAAGTTTTGTACCTTGTTCAAACTGAAAAACTGTAAACAGAGCGGCTACTTCCATTTGAATAGAAAGAATGCAATGTGTAAGCACCTAAAGATATAGGCACGGCCAGAGCTCAGAATTCCAGACAGCTGTACTCCTTCCATAAAGTTGAGGTTGGCAACAGAGATCTGGGTAGAAATTTCTTAGAACATGTAACTTGGAATCAGAATAGAAAAAAACTGTTTTGTAGATCCAGGTACTGGACAAGTCTATATTGCAAGAGTTTCCACAGTTTTCAGACACATGAAAGATTTCTAAAAGAAGACACTACTACAGGACTATGGCAGATCCACAACTGTTGCTTTATTAGTTAAGTGGATGCTCAAGTTCCTGATTGTCAAGATGATCATCAGTTTAAGAACTTATTCACTTCAGTGCAGCGTGACAGCCAGCTTCTGAAGTCAGCTGTAATTTCTCACTTCCAGAATAACATTCCTTTCCTTCTCCTTTCCCAGCATCCCCAGTTCAACAATGCCTTTAGTGGAGAAATCAGTGAGCTGTAAGCATCAGCTTGAAGTCTCAGACCCCTAAAGCAACTGTTCTAGAATTAAACTTGTCAGCTACTTCACAGAAAGGCAACTGGCAACCACTGCTTTAACACATTCTGTAGTATGTTCAACAGCAGCTTTGAAGCTCTTAAAATCACCAGACTTGTGCTAACACAGAGACTATACTTTCTTATCAGCTAATAATCCTGAAAACAGGCATCATCCTGGAAATGAAGAAGACTGGGGGGATTAAAGGATTCAGTAGAGAAGTAGTATCTATCTTATTATAAAAGCAGTTACAGCTACTTCAAAATGGTTTTGTCAAACTTTCTCTTCCCACCTAAACATTTAAGCTGCAAACTCTTTAAGCTAGATGAGAACCCAGCTGGCTTATTTTGCAAACCCACAGATGACTGTACAGGTACAAGGAAGGCATTAAGCAGCTAGCAAAAGGCAGAGAACAGGAGAGTTTCTTTCTACAAACATAAGCCTTGTCTGAGATTATGGACATATATTGCTGATTTTTTAATTTTTCTTTCCATACATTGAACAGTATCAGTAACAGAATAGCTCATGTATAGAAGACTAAACACAGGTTTAAGACTTAAGTAAGAGGTGGCCCTCCTATCCAGAAGCACACATTCAGACTTGTGGTAGAATGTTTGAGGGCATATTTTTTGCTCTGAAATAATGAAATAAAATATTTACTGTTATTCACTTATTTGCCACACTTTCACCTTCTTACCTTGGTGACCACAAGAAACATCGTGTATAAAAACACGAGGTTGTGTCTTGCTATGGGCAAGTACTGGCTGTGTTGCAGGGTGAAGAGAACTGCTCCCATCAAAGTTACCTTCACAGGGCTAGAAGTCAAACAAACATGTTAATCTCTCTTCTCTGCTCCACAGGGAAAGCTACCATAGCCTGCAAAGCAATAAATGTTCTTAGCATGCAAAACAATTATTTCTGAATAGAACTAAGGAAAACTTGTGGTAACAGTGACAAGGTTCAAAAGCTAGCTATTCTTAAACTAAGACTTTTACTTTATATGCTATTACTATGCTTTCTGCTCACGATATGGATAAGCATCCAATTCAGCACTACTTTATGCACCCAGCAAACCCACGTTTGACAAATCCTTCTCAAACCAATGCCTCTATTGAGCTCTATATGCCAGCTCATTCCTCTTCTTAGAATCATAGCATGGTAAGGGTTGGAAGGGACCTTAAAGATTGTCTGGTTCCAACCCCCCTCCCATAAGCAGGGACATCTTCCGCTAGACCAGGTTGCTCAGAGCTCCATCCATCCTGGCCTGGAACACTGCCAGGGAGGGGGCATCCACAGCTTCTCTGGTCAACCTGTTCCAGTGTTTCACCACCCTCACGGTGAAGAATTTATTCCTAATATCTAATCTAAATCTGCCCTCTTTTAGTTTACAGCCATTCCCCCTTGTCCTATCACTACACACCCTTGTGAAAAGCCCCTCTCCATCCTTCCTGTAGGCCCCTTCAGGTACACCTGCCTGGCCCCCCCCTGGGCCCGCTCCAACAAATCCATGTCCTTCCTGTGCTGGGGGCTCCAGAGCTGGACACAGTACTCCAGGTGGGGTCTCACGAGAGCGGAGTAAAGGGGCAGAATCACCTCCCTCGACCTGCTGGCCACAGGACCTTCTTCCTCTCCCAGTGTATCTTACTGAAGAGTTAAATCACAAAGCTTGCACTACTCAGACTGGACTTAAAAATAGGCTCCTCTCCTGTACTCCAGGTGGTAGTTACTCCAGGGAGTTGCTTAGAGTTGCTTAAAGTGTTGAAGAACAACTTAGTCCAAGTCTCAGTCCACTGTGACACTCCACCAGTTCTAGTATTGTAATCAACTTATACTTGACTTGAGCCAGGCCTGTAAGACCATGTTTTGCCAACATAGCTTTGTTGACTTAAGGCATGCAAAGATTTACATCTTCTAGTTATCTTTACTGTGGTGGTAAATCCCTTGCTAGGTATGCAGTCAGAAAACAAGACAACTTTGGTTAGTTATCCAAAGTCATCTGAAGAGAGGGCACTAATACACTGGCAGAAAAATTCTGTGCATGTCTTAATCTGCACCTACAGGTGACATACTGACGACATTCCTGC